GGGCCCAGACAATCACTTTCAGAAGTTGTTGGGACACATGTAGTTTTAGCTTGTAAGTGGATCATTATAGTTTTTTACACACAATACCGCTCCCCGCCCCCTCCCCCCACCCCAATCAATGTTGTTTGAACCAAAACACATCAAACCCGACGAGAAATGGGACACAACATTGAACAGGGGGCGGGGGGATTGTCGTTTGTTGAAATTTAAAGGTTTTGTGGCATCTGTCCCAAGACTTTTGAAACTGATTGTAGGTGTCTTACTTCTCCAGTGGTTGTCGGTTTAGTATCCTCAACGCCGTGTTCTCTTAAACGTCGCAAAACTCTTCGAAGATGATCAAGATGAATGTGCGACTAAAAACAATTACATCATCCAAATATGGTATAGCAATTTCGTACCTCAAGTCACCCAAGCAGTGCTCCATGAAACTTTGGAAATTAGCAGGAGCATTCATTAATCCGAACGGGATCCGCACCCATTCATAAAGACCCCACGGGGTGATAAATGCTGTTACATGTCGACTTCCTTTGTCCATGAAGCCCTGATGATAGACTTTTCCTTGGTCTAAAGCGCTAAACCACGAATTACCACCTATATTGTCTAATGCTTCCTGGACTCGTGGAAATGGATGACGGTCTGGTACTGTTCGGTGATTTCATTCATGATAATCTACACAAAGCCGTAATGTTCCGTCTTTCTTCCGTACACACACTATGGGGGATGAGTATGGTGACTGGGATTTCGTAATAAACTGTTTATTTAGTAAGTCCTCTATATAATGTTTCACCTCTTGATACAATGGTCTAGGGATCGATCTATAATTCTTTTGTACAGGCCGTGGGTCTGAAAGGTTAATATTTAACCGAAGATCAGGACACAGTCACACAATCACATTTTACAATTTCTTTGATGACATTGTATCCTACTATTGGGTAGTTCAACTCCTCTGATGTAATCAGAAATGGTACCATTACTATGGTCTCTTCTTTACCAGAAGATAGTAATCTAAACTCTAACTCAGCCCATCCAGTGTACGGGATTGCTGTTCCATTAGCAGCATTTATTTCCAAGGGACTGTCCAGAAGCTCACTTATATCTCGTTTCTTGACACCAGGGAACTTTGCATTTAAGAAATCATTTGTCATTATCGACACTTGAGCCCCTGTGTCCCACAAAACCTCAAGTTGACGGCCATTTAAGAAACAGTTCACCAAACACTTTTCCCCAACAAGGTTTGCCATTTTTCCCAATTGTTTTGGAGTTAAATGACTAACCCATGTTGCTTGGTCAACTTTCTGTTGGCTCTGATTCTGTTTCTCTTCCGCCATTTTCTTCAAAGTAACACACAAATGTTTATGCATAGGCCACTGTTCTTTTTGGCACTTTCTTGAACAGTAGAAAGCGATTTTGCAGTCTGAGCAACGTTTAAGTTCGTCCGATACATTTATATTCTTGTTACAATAACTACACTGGCGGTCCCCCTTCAGTAGCCTCTGTCCATTTAAAGATGATTTAGTAGATCTCTTGCGACAGCCAGCTGCAAAGTGGTTGTCGGCACCACAAATAAAGCAGTGTGAGCAGCTACTCTGTCCGGTTTCTTGACATGAAGTACATAATGACTTTCTTGGCACTCTTCGATTTCTTTGTCTTGACTCATCACTGGGCTTTGAACCCTTCATTTCTGTACGGAGTGACTCCATTTCCAATTTGATTTCTTTAATTGCCGCCATCACGGTGTCTGACGAAATTTGTGTGTGCAGTGTCACTAGTAGCACTCACTTGTGAGGACTGGCCATTGACCTTTAGACTTGCCTTGGGTTGTGACTTTAGCTTCCTACACCTCTCACTTTCTGATGAAACTGTAGCATTTAGTTGCTGGATGAGGTCTTCATCCAAAACATTTATGTCCTTTAGATATGGTCGTAGTTTTGAACAATACTCTCATCCTGCAACCCTGTTTCCACTGTTCGCAAGAACAATTTCTGGAGGTGTTCCTTATCATACTTTAGAACACTTGTATCCTCATCACTTGCAAACAGGATCTTTTGACGTAGGTCAAGGGCACGGATTAGGAATGCTTGGGGGGGGGGTCTCCTTCGGCCCTTGACAATGTGAGGCCAAATTCTGATACATTTCGGTTGTATCTTTCACGCCATAGTGACTTCGAATGATCTTACGTTGCCGGTCTAGCGTTAAGTCACTGAATGTTTCAAGGTAACTTCGCACCGATTTCATCCATAAAAGATCAAAATATGTTGGGAACGAACCCAACCGAATGTCGTTTATATATAAAATAATAATCACCACGTCATTACACTTTATTTACTTTCAAATTTAGTCTTTTCTAAGCAGTACATCATGACAAATATCTTGTACATATCAAATATCCATGCATCATTCTGTCCTCGATTCTGTCCGTATTTCGACTAATATCGGTCGTAAACAAAGGTTTGCTACATAGAATTACAAATAACGTTCATTAATAACAAGTTCAAGTGGTTCAAAGTCAAAATGAAAGAAATACTTACATCTTATGGCGATTTTACAGCAGATTACGTTTGTATATATATCACGAATATCAATAGTTTTCCAAAAGGCCTCGCTTGCGAGGACTGGCCCTAAATTAATTATGCTAATGTCAACAAACGGCGCGAAATAATTGTATTAATTATGGCAGCATTCGTAACAACCCGGCCCCCCAATGAGCGTATCACGTAGCTCATTCAGTTTTATTCTCCAGCTTCAAGAAAACATAGCTTCTGGATTGGACGTTTCAGAACATTGTTTTTCGTTTTCACTTCGGCAACTCTGACAAGGCCATCCTTCCCAGGAAACACATTCGTAACTCTTCCCAGCAACCAACGTCCTCTCGGAATGTTCTCGTCCACTAGGATTACAAGATCACCAATCGACAGATTCCGTTGAGGTGTAAGCCACTTTTGTCTTAGTTGTAAAGTTGGCAGATACTCGTGTAACCAGCGTTTCCAAAAATGATCACTCAGAATCTGTGATTGTCTCCAACTCTTCCTACTGTACAAATCAGCATCGTCAAATTCTCCAGGAGGTAGAGCAATCGCTGGTCTTTGAATTAAAAGATGATTTGGAGTTAACGGCTCCATGTCCCGAGGATCGTCCGAGTTCGGGCACAGAGGTCTGGAATTGGCAATCCCTTGGGCTTCTGATAACACCGTTCTCAAGACTTCTTCTTTAACTAATGTCTTTCCTAGGATAGCCTTCAACGATTGTTTAACACCACGAATCAGTCTCTCCCACACTCCCGACATATGGGACGCTAATGGCGGGTGAAAAATCCATTCTACTCCGCTTTGTCTTAAATGCTCTTCAATCTGATTTTGATTCCACCTTTCTAAAGCTTCACGTAACTCGCGCTCTGCGCCCACGAAATTTGTACCGTTATCTGAACGCAGTTCCGAATGTTTAAGAATCTTCGTAACACCATGATGAAATCATCGGTTTGCAGGGACTGGGCTAGTTCTAGATGTATGGCTCTCGAGGCCATACATACAAATATACATCCATAACGCTTGGCAGAACCCCGTCCGTGTTTTACCATAAGTGGTCCGAAAAAGTCAATGCCCGTGTTTGTAAAGGGAGGTTCGAAAGGAGTAAGGCAAACCTTAGGTAACTCTGCCATTTCTTGGGTCATCCGTACAGAGTATCTTTTCCTACACGATATGCATTTGCTGATCACTCGTTTAATAGTCGCTCTGCCCTTAACGATCCAAAATTCTTCTCGATGTCGAGATAACAACTGCTCTTGTCCGCAGTGTCCAAGTTGTTGGTGATTAAAACGAATTATCAAGGTTGTAACATGGTGATTCTGCGGTAAAATCATCTGATGTTTACTGTCAAACGTGCTTGGTGCTTCTGATATTCTACCAGAGACCCTTGGGAGTCCGTTCTCGCCTAGCATGGGCTTAAGCTTCACAATCAAACTCGAATTCTTCACACGTTGACCGGTTTTATCCTTTCTTTTAAGATCTTGCAATTTTTCCGGAAACAACTGGTGTTGAACAAGTGAAACAACCGTTCGTTTAGCTAAAGTCAGGTCATCCACGGTTAAAGTATTGCATTCTAAACGTTTGCCATTTTTCAACCAAGCTTTGTACTTGCATAGCCAAGCCACATATTTAAGTAGTTTCGACCAGTCCGAGTATCTTTCGAGGAGTTCATAGAGCAGAGGGCTTACAGACGTCTGGAGGCGAGTCGCACAAGTCGTTTTCTTCTTTTTGATTTCCAGTTCGCTGTCGGGTATCTCTTGAATTGGCTCATCGGGCCATGTATCTCTGGGGTTCGAAAGGAACTCTGGACCTCTTAGCCATCGCTCTTGTTCTATGTATTGCTGAGGGTCCAAACCGCGAAAACAATCGTCCGCAGGATTGAAACTTCCTGGACAGTGCCGCCATTGACTCGGATCAGTGGATTCCCGAATTTCGTTTACTCGGTTAGCTACGTACGTTTGAAATCGTTTCGTCGTGTTGCGAATATACGACAATACTATCATACTGTCCGTCCAAAAGTACATTTCATGTGCGGTTATACCGAGCTCATCTTTAATCATCTTATTCATTCGTACAGCTAATAATGCACTTTGCAATTCGAGTCTTGGAATCGTGGGTGACCGAATGGGAGCATTTCTCGACTTTCCCATGACAAACGAACAGTTAATAGTTCCGTCGCTATAGATGATGCGTAGGTACGACACGGTACCGTATCCAATCTCTGAGGCGTCACAAAAATGGTGTAACTCGACAACAGCATCGTCATGATCTGGAAGTCGGTAGAAACAACGAGGGATGCTTATCTGAGTCATCAATAGTAAAAGTGATTTCCAATTAATCCATGATTTCAGTAGATCGTTCTCCTGGAAATCGTCCCAATTCATCTTCCTCCAACACACTTGGAGAATTTGCTTAGCAGGTAAAAGAACTGGTGCAGCAAATCCCATTGGATCATAAAAGGAGGAAACACATGAAAGCACACCTCGCATGGTATTTGGTTTGTCACAAGGTTTTATCTTGAAACAAAAGGCATCATCGTCGACGTTCCAGTGGACACCCAGCGTGCGTTCAATAGGAAGTTGGTCAAGACTTAGATCTAGGTCGGGCAAGGCTCTCCTTTCAACAGGCACTGCTTCAAGAACTCTTCGACTGTTGGACATGAATTTGGTCAATTTAAAGCCTCCACGTGAAAGCAAAGACATTGAACTCTTACCTACTTTAATAGCAATTTCTTCATTCTTTAGGGCTCTCAACATATCATCGACGTAAAAATGTCTTAAAACAGTGTCAACGACAAGGTTATCAAATTCGCTCTTATTATCTTCGGCAGTCCTTTTAAGGCAGTAGTTTGCACAGCTCGGCGAGTCTGTCGCCCCGAAAACGTGTACGGTCATAACGTATTCATCAGGTGGTTTGTCGAGACTTCCACTCCACCAGAGAAACCGAAATGCATCCTGGTCTTCTGGAGATACCTTCACCTGATTGAACATACCTTCAATGTCCGCCAACCTTATAAAAACACCAACGAGACTGTTCGTATAGTCCGGGCCTTGCAATAAATTCTGATTTAGGGACGTATCTTCAAACTTTGCCGCTGCATCAAAAACGACTCTGACCTTTTCAGACTTGTTCTTATTGATAACGTGGTGGTGAGGAAGGTAATTGGTCTTGCCAGTTTTGGCTTCAGCCTCCTCCTTTGTTAGCTTTCTAGCGAACCCCTTTTCGATGTATTCTGCCGTGGTCTTTCGATACTTGGTTTCTAATTCTGGGTCGTTAACCCTATTTGTACCGGGGGTGCGCACAATGAGCGCACCCCTATAAATATTTATCCGTCATTCCTGAACAAATGATCCGATTTGCCTGTACTTTCATGACTTTTAATATTTTACCTCTGCCGTCATGACTGCGAAAAAAAATTAATTTCTGAAAATTCAAAGTTATTCGGACGTTTGGCGACATTTGTCAAAGAAGGTGTCGGTGCCAAAAATGGGTAAATGTGGGTTGGACAGTATTTTTTGGCTTCAATCACTTCCCAGGTCATAAATAACATAATATAATAAGAGAACATATAAATATGGATTATTACACATGATTTGCAAAGTAGAATATCCATAATATATTATATAAAATAGTAAAATATAGTATAACATATAATATAGCATACTATACAATACTTATAATTATATAATATAAAATACTTATTTTATATAATATTTTTATATATTCAAATACACATACATATTTCTTTGTACCTTCAAGGCATAACATCTCCCTGCCTTTCAGCAAGAATCAAACTTGTAGGATGCATTATATATTGAACACTTTCGTACCAGAAATTCAGTTCCAAATGAGAGTAAAACTTTTGCATACAATCCAGAATGATTGCCATATTTTCAAAGTAAATATTGTGTTTTCAAAACTATACTGCAGGCTCGTATCTCGTAGCTCACCTGCCTTACACTTCATGTAACGCATAGTATATTGGTATAAAACATGGCTGCCATTTGGTATTTTTTCTACAAACTTTTGTTGGTCGACATTTTATGTTTACACTGCAGAAGTTATGCCAAAAAAGGTGCTAGAGTTTCAACAGAATGCACAATTGTGCATACTATGAGAATAATGGAACATTATTTATACAACAATGACACTGTCACAAAGATATGAAGGTAAAATCAGTGATGTTGAAACTTGAAAATGATTTGGATTGTTTATATGAGAGACTGGTAAGTTTCAATTGTATGTCTTTCCATATGGCACAGAAATGTCAACTTGGAAAGTAAAATAGTGGTGTTTATGGACATCTGAGATATGCTATAACATAAAAGTATGTCTTTTGAATGTAAAAGACCCAAAAAATATCACATCCAAAATGTTTTGTTATATCTCTTTACAAAATATAACCAAAGTGGGTAAAATATTAGCTATATTCGCCATTTTCGGATAGGCGGTCATATTCATTGGGGCCAAAAAACAGCATTTTGGATGTGAATTTAACTTTTTTGTTATTTTTAGGTTAAAGAAAGATAAAACTTACTAAAAATAAAACTTATAGGATAATAGCAGTTAATCGACAGAATTTCTGAGGGGTGCGCCCTATCAGCGCACCCCCGGTCATATCAACATGAAAAAAACCCCGGTACAAATAGGGTTAAATATCTTCTTTAAAGATTTCAGCCGTTTCTCTGCCACCATTCTGTTATTGGGCAATTGAGGACAATCGTCCTTCCACAATAATTCTGTTTCATAATGTCCGTCTACAAGTTTTGTGCTTCTTTGAAGAATATTCTCGGCTCGACGATCTTCAACTGATGCAGCCTTCCTCAAATCGTTCTCCTTCAATCCTGATGTTTCGATTTCCCAAAATTTCTCTACTTGTCGATTGAGCATCTGATTGGTGGTATCAAGAAAGTTAACTGATAACTCTTTCTGACCAGCGTTAGTCGTATTCACACTACCAGCAACAGTCCAACCAAGCGCTGTTCTGGTTGCATACAGCTCACATTCCGAGGTTTCGGATACCCTAACTTCGCGCACAATATGTGCTCCCTTTACATCTTCCCCGATGATTATAGAAACACGCTTAAGTTCGACTTCAGGCATAGTTATATCAGCCAAATGCTCATATCCTTGACAGTCAATCTCATTTGGGAGGATTCTTTCATTCATATCAAGCTCCTTCACTAGTCCTTCGCTCACTACCAATATTGGGTCAGAATCTGCGGCTTCTGCAGCCTGAAGCAAAAGGGACACTGATTCAAATTCGCATTCCTGTGTTCCAAGCACTGTTGTAACGGCGATTGACTGTTTAATTCCTTTCACGTTCAGTTTCTCTGCCAATTTCGCATCAACAATAGTTCCACGGCTTGCATTGTCAAGTAGTCCATATGTCGTGACCGAGTTTCCATCCTTCGTTAACACTTTAACAGGTACAACGTGTAAAAGTATGTGATTTTCCTTTCCTTGCGTCATTGTCGTATAAGATGCCATCAAATCTTGTTGACTGTTCTTTCCAAATTTGGATTTGGGTGGTTCAGATCCAGCTGCCCTTTCTGGTTTCTCTTTGTCTTTCTCTGGTTGTCTTTGAGTGGTATTGGAGGATCCACGATCATTAGACTGGAATTTAGAGTTATCCTTTGATGGCGAAATTCTTCGATGAAGGAGTGGGTGATGCTTGTAGGTAGCTTTACATTTACAAATGGTGGTTGACATACACTGGGCCTTCATGTGTCCCGACGCTAGGCATAAATGGCAAAGCTTTAAATTCTTTACGATTTCCCATCGCTCTTCAGGTGTTTTCTTAACAAAGGATTCACAGTTTGTGAGTGAATGTTTACCCTTGCAACACGGACAAAGGCCGGAATTTTCGAGGTTTTTGTCAACGTCGAGATCTGATTCTGAAGTGGTGGTTTAGGTGGTGGTTTCGGTAGCTTGTTTTTGGGGTCAATTGGTTTCCTCTTTGTAGTCAAAATGTGTCCATACTGGGGACCGTTCATGATTCTGAGTTGTCTTTCTACTAGCTCTAGAACATGCTGTAATGTGGGGTTCAATTTGGTCTCATGACGAATTTTTGGAACATTCTTTACCCACTCTATCCGCATGTGCATTGGCAAACGATCAACAACTCTCTCAACGTTAGATGATGCATTAATTTCGTGTTTGTAATTCTCATTGTCCTTTAAGACTTCTAAACAGGAACGTAAATTATTTCTGAGCTTAGCGAGAGAGTTGTTGTCTCCCCTTTCAATGCGAGGACCCACCATGACTCGTTTTAGGGATGCCTTGACTACGCTAGAAGGATGACCATACTGAGACTCTAATATTTTCATGGCTTCACTAAAACCGTTTGATTTCAGTTCACAATGTTCAATTGCGTCTCTAGCATCACCTTCTACGAAACTGAGAAGACGAGTTATTTTTTTTCTTTCATCAAACTCTCTTTCGTTTAACCAAACCTCCACCCGATTCTTAAAAACAGGAAACTGAGCAGGGTCACCTCTAAATTTCATTGGCTGGGGTTTCGGAATCCCTTGCCGCTGTAACATGGCTTTCATAACAGTGGTTGTTTCGGTTCCCTGCTTCATAGCACTAATCAATTGCTGATTCATTTCGAGTAATGTAGTTGTTAAATCAGGTTTAGTTTTGTCAACGCTTGGTTTAAACTCGGGTGAAGATGGCTCCATGTCATTGCATTTCTCAGAAAGGGACGCAATCCCTTGCTTGCTATCGACCACTGACTCGGGTGGCGATTTGACTAACTCAGGCCGAGTTGAGGGGTGATCTGTCTTGTAGAAAGCTCTGTCCTGTGGTGTCGAATTTTTTACTTCTACCTTCATATTAACCCTGTTACCAGTTACAGCCTTTGATAAACTACGCATGCTTCCGCAGTCACTATATCTCTCGTCTGCCTGATCGGCTGCCAAAAGTTCGGCTTCTAACTGAGAATACTCTGCTTGGTCCCGCAAATCTTGTAACTCACATTCTATCTGTTCTTGCATTTGTTTTTCCTTTGCTTTTGCTCTTCTCTCTGCCTGCTCCAGTTTCAACCTTGCTAATTCTGCTGAACGAGCCGCCGTCTTCACCCTAGACGACACAGAGGACCCCCCTGAACGTCTACTCTTTGACGACCTTGACATGGAAACACTACTTTGTACTGACACAGAAAGTTTATCATCATCCTTAAGGTGAAGACCATTCTCAAACTTTGAGTCTCTCTGTAAACTGCGAATGCTCTTGTTAAGTTGACCAATAGCTAGTTGATTACATTCATTTATTTTTCGTTCGAGACTTTGACGTTGGATGCTAAGACGCTCCAAGTCACGCGTGTTATTAATCAGCTGAGAATAATCTTCATGTACTTTGAGGTACTTAACCCACTTTGAATGTACAGTGTCCAAAGTTTTTTCAATTTCTGTAGTCTCAATATTACTATAATCATAAGTTTTTAAAGACTCTGTAGATACTTCAATAATTTGCGAAAGTTTTAATAATTCATGCTTTAGTCCTTTGGAATGTATTTCATTTAAATATTCTGCGTACTCACGCGGCACCTTCCGGGTCCGAGATGTCCTTCGTAAACCGTCGTCACTTCCGGCTTGTTGAAAACATTTAAAAGACATCATGAGATAAGTAAAATTTATTCTAGTTATTTGTTTGCAGTATAATTTTTAAAAATATCGCTTTTACACTGTTTTTTCGCGTGCTTATTTACATGTCGTCTTTGTGTGTATTTTTGTCACTCTGAGTAAGTCCATATAATAAACAGAACATTAAACAGTTGCGAGAAGATATGGATTTATGTTCTCGGGTCAAAAAGAATATCTCACTCATTTTGCCACTCGAACATAAAATGCATATCTCTTCGCAACCGTCTAATATCCTCTATATATTGCACTTTATAGCACTGACACAGAGCAGGATTTATATTCTCATATGCATCTCATCGTATACGTATATATTATACAGTAATACAGCAATCTCGTATGAAGAAATTTTAAGGGCCCTTATTACTTTGCATGGCGTGAAATTGTGGACATTAGGGGGCGGAGCTTAAGTATAATATATTCTGCGTTTATAAATATCTTGGTTTCCACCAGTGGCTTATAACGCTTTTTTAATTTAATTAACCACTCAAGATTAATTATTGGATGGTTAAACCCCGTTCGTAAGAATTTTTAGCTTCTCGGGGCAAACAGAAACGCTAGACATCTGAAACGTTTCTGTGTTTATATGTTTTGCTCGATTGACCCATCTGACCTTTGCGCAAAAAAATTATATACAGTGGAACCCCGCCTTACGGCCACCCCGTGAATACGGTCACCTCGATAATACGGTCACTTTTTTATCTGAACTTTATAATGTTTAGTTATTAATTGGTATTATGCGTCACAATTGAAATTTGATCTCACCCCGTTAATATGGCCGCCCCGTTAATACGGCCATATTATTTCGGCCCGTTGGTGACCGTATTATCGGGGTTCCACCCTATCCACTTTTACCCGCATCTGAAGTCTTGCCGACAATGTTTACGAATATATATATATATAATAATTTGTTGCCTCGAAACTATAAGGCATGGTTACAAAGCTCCTCTGCTGTAGAGGCTTCTTTATGCATGTCTTGCCAAGCCAAATCAGATTGAACAGTTTGCATATGTTCAATATTTCGTCTGAAAACGGAATTTATTGAGATGTGCTTGTCGTATTTGTGTTGTGATGTTTCACAATACAATTCCTAACTAAAATGCTTCGTATTGAATTATTGCGATACCGATTCGTATTTAATTATTGCGATTAAGTCCAGATATTCTAAAATATATCTTGGAAATTAGTACAAACTAAAACAGATTGAACACTATTTATTTTAGCGCAAGGTTAAGAACTAGGGCAATTTTTTCGCTAACTCCCTTACAAAACATAAGAGTGACGGCGGCCATGCATATTTCTACAAAATATTTTCTAAGTCCAAGCACTCAAAGCGCGTGCGTGACCATTATTTCTCGCCATGGGAGGCCCCTTTTGAGATGAGGGCCCAGGGCAAAGCGCGCCCTCTCTGCCCCCTCCCCCTCTAGGTGGGCAGTGTTTCGCTGAACCCGTAGCATGCAATGTAAAAGCGCCCCACCACGAAAATCTGCCGACTAGGCCTCGGTTAATACCCCTTTTTACTTTTGTACATTTTTTACTTCTTCTATTTCAAATACAAGTATAGTATAAATTTTAGAGCAAATTTGGATGCTCAGAATGCAGGAAATGGCAATTCCGTGCTTCAAATTTCAAACATTTTCTGGGGGAGTACATCCCCACACATGTGACCATTGCTATCCTCCTTTAATAAGTAAATAACTTTTTGTGCGTTTTCCCCTTTATTTATTTCAAATACATGTTAGTTAGCATAATTTTGGAGCAAATTTTGATGCTCAGAATGTAGGAAATGACATTTCCTGGATTCAAAATTCAAAAATATTCTAGGGGAGTACACCCCCAGACCCCCATTCATGCATGGTATATTGGCCACACACGTGGCCTTCAGCTATTGCTATACCCCTCTAATATATTATCTCACAGAAAGGTCCCTTTTCAAAAAATGCCCCCACGGGAAAATCCTTAAAAAAGGCCCTGGTTATCTGCGCAGGTAGATTTCATCGATCGCGATGTTACACTTACGTCCAATCCGTTTTCATGCACAGGGGGGTCTAATCGTTTGGGTGTCCAGGGGCGGTTAGTCTCTGGAAAAGTTGTTCTGTTTTTAGGGTCTGCGATTTTTTATGTGTTAGATGGAAACATTCACTGGTTATGCCCATCATCAGTTTTGAAAGAGTTACAAAATTTGTTCTGGTCTCGGGAGTTACAGTTTCGGTATGAGTACCTCAAGTGAGCATTTCAACAAGCTCGAGGCCGATCGCGAGACATATAATCGATTTAACACTGACGACAAATTCGTCGACTGTAGATCATAACAAGGTAAGCCACGTGCACCATCTAATTACTTGCTAAGATCATAGGCACACCCAAAAAACATGACTCAGTAGTTTTTGTAGGATGAGTATATGTAATATATGTAATTTATTTCTGTGTAGCTATGTACTTGTATTTTTTTAAATCCCCATTTAGATTAGCGGGAAGTTCACTCATATCTGCATGAGGGAACTAAAATTTCAGTATCGCCTTTATATAAGCAATGAGCTATAAGTGTAGTCTTTTTAAGAGAATCGGATAAATAATTTATATATAATAGGAACAATAATGATTTATATGTAATAGGAACAATAATGGTCGACCTAAAATTGAACTTGTGGGACGCCACATTTCACTTTTCAAAACGATGACTTTTACATGCTTATGATGCTTATTCTCTATTGGATTAAAATATTCGAACCATTTCAATTGAAACGTTAGCTATTCCAAACTGCCTCTTCATTTTTGGCAGCAATATACGGCCATGACTATACAGTCGAATCGAATGCCTTCCGATTTCCGAATGTCAAGAAATACAACCCCGCGTTTAGTTTCCCGGATTTGGAAAAGCAATGAGTTAAATGACATAACCCATTCTCGTACACAGAGCCCTTCTTACGCGCGCTCAACGGAGCGCGACGAGGGGCTCTGGCAAAATCCAAAACGGTTACCATAAAACATTGTATCCGGTTAAACATTGCGCATGCTCAACTCTAATATAGTAAGTAATTTTTCACAAGTTTTGAAGAAGGAATTGTGGCATATGTGAAAGTT